GCTGCCCGGTCGCTGCTGGAGCAGAACTGACGTGGGACAGGCAGCCGGGGATGGGGAACCCCAGCTGGGTGCATGCCCAGGGGTACGTGGTATGTATAATCTCTATATAATATAGATAGATGAGCCAGTAATTGCTAAAGGAGCCCATGGCTGAGCCCCGTGACCCTGAGCGGTGGTGAAGGCGTTAACAGGAGACCGAGGAGCTGAAGGTTTCAAGCCCAGGTCCCTGTGTGGGGCTGCCTGAAGGTTTGTTTGAGGCCACCCTGGCCCTGAGGTCCACAAAGTTGCAGATACATTAGGAGAGCTTAAAAAAAAAAAAAAGTTTAATAGGTCAAATACCAAATTTTACATATTCAAGTAACTCGAAATGGAATATATTGTCCTGGTTATGTCACGCATCAGGTATCTTGTTATGGTGTGGTTCTGCTCGGGGCTGCGCTGGAAATGGCAGGGCTTGGCAGAAGGACGCCTTGGGGAAGGTCCGGGACCGGGACCGTGGGTTGGGTCACCATGATGCTGCCTCCGCGCTCGCTGGCTGCTTTTTTTTCTGCCAACGCTGGTGTCCCTTGGCAGCGAGAGGGAAGGTCCCGTGCAGAAGGAGCCCGGCGGCGTTCGGGGACTGACGCCGTCGCAGAGCCCTCCCTGCCCGGCCCCAGCCTCCGTGTTGTCCCGCAGCCGGGACATCCTGCTCCCCCCCGCACCGCTCCCCCCTGCCAACATCCTGCCCCGAGATTTGCTTATGCTTTGCTTTTTTAAAAACGTGTTCCTTGAGCAGCTCAAGGCCTTTGGTAGATTTATGGACTCCCTCCCAGCGACCGTTGCTCTTTCACCTTCCCCTGCCTGGGAGCAGCCGTGTCCTTTCGAGCCCAGTCGCAACCTCTCATTTTCTGCTGCGTTTGCAAAGTTGCGGCTCAAGAGCTGCTGATCTGGAATCGTTCCACCCCTCGCTAAAGCTCAGGTCCGTGTCGTGCATCAGCCCCCCAGGGTCACACTGCCTTCATTTCTGTAAGATCAGGCTTTTGCCCTGTGCTTTGTTACTGCAAGTGTTTCTTCTGGAAATCAGGAAGTTTCTCTTATTCTTTCTTTAGCGAAATAGGTCTGATGTAGCTGCACGTCAGAGGAAGACGTCTGTGCTCCCTGCATCGGCCGTTTCGCGTTCGTGCCCTGCCTCCGGAGCGCGGGAGGGGACCAGCCAAGACGTGTGGTTTAAAAGCAAAGTGTCTGCTCGTCGCCCGGAAGAACGACGTTATTGACAGGAGCTGCTCCCCCCGAGCACTTGCCGGGGAGGGGTGGGAGCATCCCACCGCCCTTAATTGGGGGGGCCGTTGTCCTTTGCGATGACGATGGAGTGCTGCGTGCTGGAGGAGGACTTGTCTGCGCCCTTCGGGCTGCCCTGCTCCTTGGGGATGTACTTCACCACGGCGGAGATGAGCTTGCTGCGGAAGTTCTTGCTGAGGAAGTTGTAGAGGATGGGGTTGACCACGCAGTGGAGCATCGTGAAGCAGTCTATGACGTCGTAGAAGAAGTAGAGGAAGTGGGCGAAGGTGCAGTGGAGGATGATGTGGTTGCCGCCGAGGGTGAGCAAGGGGAGCATCGGGGGGAAGGGAAGACGGCGATGTAGGCGTAGATGAGCAGGCAGTGCTTCCTGCTCTCCGGCTTAGTGCGCTTGATGAACCGGGCCGTCAGGACGTTGAAAACGGTGATGATGGGGAAGGGGATGAGGAACCCGATGGTGGTGGTGGCCAAGCTCACCGCCAGCGCCCACTCATCGTAGGTCTCAAAGGGGGCCATGAAGATGCAGATCGGTTCTCCGGTGTTGACCAGCTGCATGTGAGCAACCTCCAGGAACGGGATCGCCGCTGCCAGGACCCAGCTGCAGGCGCAGATGACGCGGCGCGCGCGGTGCTGGTGCTTGCGCCAGAAGAGGGAGGAGCTGGTCAGGGACACGTAGCGATCCACGCTCAGGCAGGTGAGGAAGAAGATGCTGGCGTACATGTTGGCAAAGTAGAAGTAGTGCGTGAAGCGGCAGAGGAAGCTGCCCCAGAGCCAGGTGTAATCCAGCATCACCTCCAGCATCCAGATGGGCAGCGAGAGCAGCACGCCCAGGTCGGCGATGGCCATGTTGATGATGTAGAGGTTGACCAAGCTCTTGTTGCCCCGTGTCTGCCAGTTGACCCAGATGACAAGGAGGTTCTCCACCAAGCCCACCACGAATATGACCAGGTAAAGGATGAAGAGGATCACCCGCTTCACGTTCTCATCCAGGCTGAACTCGCAGAAGGTGTAGGTGTAGTTCAGGAGGTGGAAGAGCTCGGACAGGTTGTGGTAGTCCCCGTACTCGCTGAGGGCAGTGTGCGTCTCCGTGGGGGCAGGGGTTGTCTCAGCCATCCCGGTCGCTGCAAGGAAAGGGAAAGCTCTGAGCTGCAGCTCAGCAGGTGACCACGTCTGCGGGTCTCCGTGCAGGTGGGAAAGCCGCTGTCCCCCTCCCCAGCCCTCGGTGAGCAGTTGCCTTACAAACCCGGCCGGCCGCCCTCGTCCTGCAGCTTCGCTGCTGGGAGCCGTTGGGACTTCCAAGTAGGTGACAAAATTAAAAAGTTAAAGGAAATGGACTTGACCTTAACATCCTTTAATTGCCTTAAGTGTGAGAGCTCTGATCCCAGCACAGCTGCATCTGCACGGCAAAGACGCCGTGAACCTCGTCCAGCCTTGTGCCGCTGGAAGAGCTCACAAGAGCCGCCGTTCCCCAGGGAAAGCTGGAGGAGCGTGCCGTGCCGTGCCGCCGTGCTGTGCCATTGGGG